GCGGCACTCCTCTCCGCTCTCTCGCTCTTCTCTTCTCTCTCATCTCTCTTTCTCTCTCTCTCTCTCTCTCACCTCTGTGGTCGCCCGCGCGCGTCTCTTGTCTGTCTCTCTCTCTCTCTCTCTCTCTCTCTCTCTCCGTCTCATCTCTCGCTATATTATATCATATATATCTCTGCTCACCGCTCTCTCTCTCTTCTGGTCGCCCCGCGCTCTCTCCTCTTCTGTCGCCCGTCTCTCTCTAACTTCTCTCTCTTCCCCTTTGATGCTTCGTCTATCCACAACATTAAATGCGAGTTATCCTTGCATCACAAGGCTTCCCCCCCCCCCACCACGCACGGGCACGCAGGTATCTGCTGCAAATGAAGTTTATTAATATTGGTGTTAGATTCCCACTGCAACCCCGCATAGCCATTATGGCTTTTGGAAGGGACTTATATGCCTCGCAGTCACTTCCTTCGCGAAGAACTTTGAACTTTTACCGGACGCTTTAATCGATCACTTTCAGTTTACAGCCAAAATGTAGGCAGACTGTTTTTTTCCTTTGCCATTTTTGCGTTTTTTTTTTACCTTTGCTTTTTTGCGCCCCTTGAAATGGCGCGGGGACGTGGCCGCTTTGGCCCCGCCCCAAATTACGGCCATGCTAGGACAGGAACGAAAACCACTTCCAGGGGAGGAAGGGAACTCTATCCTTTGGGGGAGCAGTTCGGGAACCGGGATAGCGCGAATCGGTAGAGGGGATTAGTGGCTCACATTCCCCCGGAGACGGGGATAGTGCGGCCGACACTTACGGAGCCAATTGGAGACGGAGCATTGTGCAGCTGACATTCGGAGCAGCTTCTGTTCCCGTAGGTTAAGTATGATCGGGGAGACGGAGATTGTTGCGCCGAGGAGTCGCGAGCAGCTCTGTTCCGTAGTTTACGTATATCGGAGGACCGGAGATTTGTGCGCGCGGGGCGAGATTTCGGAGCAGCTCTGGTTCCCGTAGGTTACGTATATTCGGAGACAGAGATTGTGCGCCGAGATTCGGAGCAGCTCTGTTCCCGTAGGTTACGTGTATTCGGAGACAGAGATTGTGCGCCGAGATTCGGAGCAGCTCTGTTCCCGTAGGTTACGTATATTCGGAGACAGAGATTGTGCGCCGAGATTCGGAGCAGCTCTGTTCCCGTAAGTTACGTATATTCGGAAACGGAGATAATGCGCCGAGATTCGGAGCAGTTAGTATTTACCCGTCATAATGCTACATCTGTGATGCACCGAAATTCGGAGCACTACTGATAGGTCACAGTACAAGATTACGTTTACAGGAAGAGAAATTCAACGACGGGGAAATATAGGGCTTAGTTATACACACGCAGCCAGGGCCTGCATACCTCCGAAATCGCATTGGTTGATACGAATCACGTGTCTGTGAAAATACGTGACCCTAACCCTAACCCTAACCGTATTTAAAAGAAAATAATGTTTGTTGTCATGTTTGATTTTGAACCGATTATTTTGAAGCGATTTTGTGTAATCCGACAAGATTTTGTGGTGTGCGCGTGAACTCAGAAAAATCCTCTACAATAAATATTGAACAGCCAATAGCTGAACGTGCGCGTGTCACATGACATTCAAAATGGCACCTACCATAGACAAAGCGTGGACGAACGAAATTGAGGGAGATTTAATCGAATTATAGGCTTTAGCGCCGTGCCTGTTTGACACATCCTCTTCAGAATACTCCAACAGAGACAAAAGAGCAGAAACTCTCAACTTTTTTCAGAAAAGCTCGGAATTGTAGGTAAATTTTGAAAGAAATTAATGTTTCAACCTCTGTGTAGTGTAGGTCTACAGGTCTTCTATTTCTTTGCCGGCGTAAACGCTTCAAAATGATTAGAATACACACAGCAACTTGATGCAAATTGACGGCCGCCATTTTCCAGGAAAGATGGCGCCACCTTGCAGTACAAAATAATCAATTTTATCGTAGGTGTGCGGGTGTTTATAGGAAGGCGTCGCGATGAGCCGATTTTACAACCGATGAAGAGATTTTTTAATCGGACCGATTTTTGGGTAGGTGTGCGATGGCCTTAAGGATTTTAGTTTCATTTGTGTTTTTAGATTATCGTGTTGAATTTACTTTAATTCCCCGAAAAATCTTCCGTGGGGGAGGGAGTAGTTATCCAGGAGGAAAGGGGGAGGAAGGCCGGGGGTGGCAATCGCCCATGGGGATGAATATCAATGGAGTAATCGTCCCACCCCCGGGGGAGGGGAGGGAGTGACTATCCATGGAGTAATCGTCCCACCCCCGGGGGGAGGGGAGGGA